CCTCACTAGCACGATGCAAGAAACAGTTAATGCATATCTGTAAAATACTATGAAAGCCCTGGATAGCAAGACACAATTTAGGAGGAATTAAAAACAGATGTACCCTGAACTGCTGCAGCCGATCCAGCTGACAATTAGGCAGCATCACATTACCATAAAGTGGGTTTTTAAATAACGCTCTATAATCATGGATGCAAAGAGCAGCAACCTCAATAAACCTCCAGAGTACTGATAAAGGAAAAAAGAAACCACTGTGAACAGCTATAAAGACAGATCGCAGGGAAGAGTCAGAGACATCCCTGACGAAGGGCCGAGGCACCCGTCTGGGATTCAGGCCTCCCGGTCCCTTCGGGCAAGTCATTTCATCTCTCGGCGTCTGTGCGCCGTGCCTCCTGCACACACAAACATCTGGATGCACACACATGCGTGTACACATGGACATAGGCATGCATGGACGCACACGCACAGACACATGCACGCCCATGCACACCCCTTGTCTGCCTAAAACACAAGGTCTTTGGACAAAAGCTCCCTCATGACGCAGGCGGCCCGGCACCAAGAGCCAAGGGCAAGGGTCCGGTGGGAGGTGGAGGGGACGGCAGGGGGGTATTTTGTGACGAGAACAGCCCTTGAGGAAGGAGACGCTGCCACCCCCCCGGCCGAGGGGCTCTCTCGGGCAGCAGCAAACCTCGGCCCTCCCAGCGCCCCCGGACGAATTTGATTTGCGTCTTTTGCGTCCCCCAAGTGACCCCCGCGCCCCGCCGGGACCCGCAGGCTCTGCCCTCACCTGTCTGCCGCTCGCTCTCTGCCATCTTCCTGGAGCCGGGCCACCGCCGTTATCACCCCCTCACCTCTCACCTCTGCCCTCCCGACACGCACCCGGGGAACAGTCCGCCGGCCATCTTTGGGAAGGGCACGTCGTCTGTCCCATAAGAGATTGCCATGTTGGCGCGGGGCATGCCGGGTGCCGCCGTTGCTGGCGCGGCCATGTTTGTACCGGGCAACACCCGCGAGCAGGCATGTAGGAACAACTCGCGATCCTTCAAGCGACCGAGAATTCGGGAGTGACCGGAGGGATTCACCCTCCCTCTGTGTCATGATGGGCCCACCCGCGAGCCCGGACTCCAGCAGTTCCCCGCCTCGCCCCCCGTGCGCTCAGAGTCACCGCTGCCCGCTCGGGAGACATCAGCAGCGACGCATGCAGCAGTGCAACCCAAACCCGGCCTGCCCTTCCCTTAGAGCAGAGAGCGGGGAGGGGGGCAATGCCCCTCACAAAGATGGCGGCGGCGCCGCTCAGTGAAAGCCCGCCCCTCACAAACATGGCAGGGCGCTAGCTCATTGCTGTGCCAGGGGGTGCCCCGCACAAAGATGGTGCCCCTTCCATACACTAGGTAGGACATTGCCCCGCACAAAGATGGCGGGAGTGCCGGCCCCTCCCAGCTGCTGAAATTACCCTGGAAGTTGCTGCCTGTCCCTGCCCTTGCGGCGCGGGACCGGGACGCGGCCGAGTTGGGGTCTGCTGCAGGCAGGAGCTATGCTGGCCTTCCTAGCCAGGAGCCTGGTAAGTGCAGCTGCCCCTGCCCCGCCATGGGGCTGTCATTGCACCGCGGAGGCAGGAGGGATCCAGCGTTGCCAGGTTTTAAACTTGACATGATCACGGCAAGCTCAAAATTATCGTATTTGCTGGAGAAAAAAGCAATCGTACGCTGATAAATATGCAAATAAGCCTGCAAATAAGTCTTCTTCTGGTTTACTCTCTCTTGCTCACTTGAGCTGCCCAGTGAGAACCGGGTCACAGGAGTGGTCGTGTTTCTTTACTTGGAGGCCGGCGGTCACACAAAGGCCGTGCATGCAAGCAGTGTAACAGGGATGCCGTAGTTTAACTGTCAGAGTCTGTTTTAATTGGCCAAGTGAACCGCAGTGCTCACTTGACGGGTTGCTAGAGGTAGTTATATATGTATACGTATTTTTGCAAAAAAAGACAAAAAGGAAGCAAACCCGAAAGTCAGCTAAGGCTCCCGGAGAGTGACTTGGGTTTTGCACATTAGCTGCCTCCAAAATTAGCGTGGATTTTGAACACTCTTACTGTTATAGATCGTACAAGGGTTGAAATGATTGCACAAATACGATAATGATTGCACACCTGGCAACGCTGGAGGAAAGCCACAGAGAGCCATGCACTACCCTGCCCCAGGGGAGGCATGGGGAGAAGGGCTTTGGCCTTTCTGGCCGCTATAATGGGATTTGTGGGCTGAGGTCAAGCACTGTGAGCAGAGCAGGATGTGGAGGAGCGGGGCTAGCTCAGCTCGGGGCAGGCGGGTGGCAGGGGAAGCTGCACCCGGGTCCGGGTTGGGCTGTGAGTAGACTTTGCCTCGTGGCGGAGTGCCAGGTGCAGGCTGCCTTTCCCTTTCCCTTGCCAACAGAGCTTTGGGCAGCTCAGGGCTGCTCCTGAGCTCTGGGCATTTGCCCTGCGGCACGTGAACCTCCTGCCCAGAGACAGGTGGCCAATGGAGTCATTCTCCGAGGTGGGCAGGCCTGGGCAAGGCTCTCTGTGTCAGGCTGATTAGGAATCGCCCTCGCCCAGAGCTGCTTTGCTGTGCCAGGAATAGCAGTGTAGACCTTTGCTTGGGTCCCAACATGCACTTTTCTCTGGACTCCCCGCTCTTGTCCTGGTATCCCCAGATCCCTGTTATAGGTGCCATGAAGGGGAGCAGCAGGGCAGGCCGGCTTCTCTCTGGGAGGCTGCCGCAGGTGCTGGTGTGCACAGGCCCACCAGGCTCTGTGGCTGTCAGAGCTGGTGCCTTCAGGGGTAGTAGCCTCCCTGTCTGTGTAGATGAGGGGGTTTTCTCCATTAGGACTGTGTAGTTGCTGTGTGTCTGCACCAGGCCAGAGACATGGGCTGTCATCAGAGATCCATTGCAGCAGTGAAAATGTCCATCAGAAACAGGCAAGCAATTAGCCCATTTCCAATCTGGACAAAGGGGGCCGCTGCTGACAATCACTCTTGGTGCAAGCTCAATGTCGTAGGGTAGCCAAGGTCCTAGGGCACCAGTTTCCTGTAGAAGCTTTTATGATAGCACTTCCCCTGCTGTCAGAAAGATTTCACACGTGCTGCTGCCCATGAGACTGGTCAAACCCGGTTGCCCAGAGGATGTTCTTGGCAGTAGCAGTGACTGGGGAAAGGAGAGCTGCAGAATGGGTCTTTATTGTTCTCTTCCTGAACAGATGGTCTGTTCTCCCCATGCTGTACTTTGTCCCAGGACACTTGGGGTTTGGCTCTTCAGTTTTGTCCTTTACAACCAACCTCCCTATCTGACAGTCTGCATGTGGCTGAGCGTGTGCATCAGACATCACACACAACTTTCTTGTGACTCCAGGCCCATGTACTCTGCTGTGTGAAGTCCTGAATAGGCAGGGGACAGCAAGTCCCCAGGGCCAAGTGCAGTAATTCGCACATCACAGGTCCAAGGGAATCAATAAAACAAACCCTTTGGCAAACCAATACATATTACTAGTCATGCCATGACCCTAGCAGGGCAACGGTGTCCTGTAGCTTAGCTGGAGTGCAGTTTGGCACAAACGCCAAGCTGCAAGGTGAGCCAGGCCCTCCAAACAGAAGTGCAGAGCATCCCCTGTGTGTTAGGAGCTGTCCCCATTTCCCATGGGGACGGGAGAGCCAGGAGTCAGCTGCCTTCTGACAACTCCTATGGTCAGACTTGCTCACTAGCATCCCAGCACTCACCCAGTAGTTACTACTCTGGAACAAGCAAACAAAAGCTGCTGGAGATAAAAACCTAAAAAAGTAACGCTGGGAGTGGGGGTGGGAGCTTCATAGTTTGGGTTTTTATCCTTCACAGTATAGTCCATGAGGATTTTTTTCCATTTGAAAACAAGCAAACAAAATAGCATGTTGTCCCAAACAGCTCATTGCTCATGGTGATATTTCTTAATGGAACATTGCTACAAATATGTCCATGTAGCTTTGATTTAATTCAGAGGTGGGCGAAATACAGTCTGCAGGCTATATCCAGCCTGCCAGTTGATCCTATCCTGCCCACCAGCTGCCACCAAGAGTGTGAGGAGGGAGGGCTGCACTTTGTACTGCTCCGCTCTGCTTCACCTGAGGTCAGACCAAGCCGTGCAGTGCACAGCCTCCTCCACCCCCGACTTTCCTGGTATGGCACGGAGGCGGCAGCTCATCTCAGTAGGTGGGCAGGACACCTGCTTGGCATGCTGCATCATGCCCTGTCCCGTGCAGGCCTAGCTGTTGATAGCCATGGTGCCAGGATTGCATAGCACCAACAGAAAATCAGGGGGGGGTGCTTGATGCAGGGGGTAGAGGAGTCTGTGCATTGCATGGCCCAGGCCCTCAATGCGGATACAGCCCTGCTTCCTCAGGCTCCTGCAGCCAGAGGGCTGGATAGGATCAATTGGCATCTCCCTGCCTTTCCACCCCCGTCCCTCAACAGCTCACCAAAACTCATTAAGTGGCCCTCCAGCCCAAATAATTGCCCTCCCCTGGTTTAATTGCATCTAGTTACACAGCCATCCTCAAGGCTGCGGGGATGCTAATATTCTTGTTGCCTGCAGTGTTATCATTGTGGGTCTACTGCCAAGAGCCTAGCATTCAGGATATGCAACCTGACAATCATGAATCTGGCTTGCCTATGTCTTTGGGGATTGGTCACAGGACATGGCCTTTTGTCTGCAGGCTACTGATTCAGATTTGGTCCACACACTGGATTCATGTCCACCTAATGACCATTTGATCAATCTGGACGCAGGTTGTCTGACTGGTTATTGCTAGACTTTGGCCCACGTGAGACACACTGCAGCCACTGTAGTTAGCAGTCTGTGCAGAAAGGCTGCATTCCTCTGCCACCACTAGAAGCCTTCCCTCCACCTCAGTTTTTATGAAGAGGCTTCTGCTGCTGCCCACTACCCATGGTGTGTGCTTTCTTGTGTGTGGACAAATCTCTTCTGCCTCTGGGAACATCGGTCTGGCACCAACCCTGCAATGAAGAGCAAAACTCTGATGCAGGTGATGGAGTAAAGGACCTGGGAGCTCTGGCAGCCACAGAGGGGTTGGAGACATGCCAGACAATACTGATACTGGCTGGGAGGTGGCTTGGCACCTCTGCAACTACAATGTATGGTCTTGTGTTTTCTTGACAGAATAGAGCAGTCAAAGAGCAAAGGTTGCTAAAGTATACAACTCCATGTGTGTGCTAGAACAGGGTAAGATTAGAGAGGAAGCCTGAGGCAGAGACAGAGAGGCTTACAGGGTTTTCCTTCTTCCAGCGATGGATAGGAATCAGCTGCCAAAGAAGGTAGGTACCCTCAAAATTGATCCCTTCTTGCCTTTTCAATGCCCATCTTTTTCATCAAGCTTCAATGATTATTTTCCCTTCCTTTCTCTCTCTCTCTTTTTTTTTAACCTTCCCACAAAATCCTGATTTTCCCCCTTCAAATTACTGGATCCTGCAAGATTGCACACCCTTTCAGGATCCCACTTTGTTTCTCTGCACATGACCTTTGGGGAAAAAACCTTCCTTCAACTGAGTCCCACAGGCACCTTCCAGCTGGCAGTTTCCCTCTTCCATAGTCCGAAGTTTCTAGCAGGAATCTTTGCCTGCTGGGCCCAACAAATGGGAAAGGAAGGGGGAGCAGAGGGCATGTAAGCACACTGTAAATGTTCACTGTGCCCCTAAAATTCTTGCCAAAAATGATGCCTCTAGTTTCCAGAGAAGGGTTAGCAAGTGCCTGTCCTGGCCAGAGGCTGACGTTGCTCTGCTGCTCTCTCTGGTCTCTTTACAATCTGTTTCTCTACCTGATGAAATTGTTCCCACACCTGCCGCTAAGGCTTTTCTTCTCAATTTTTCCCTATTCTGTCCCTAATGAATCAGTGCATCACCTACCTTTATGGACTTCTCCCACTTGCACCCAAGCGCCTACATTGCAGCTTTCAACTGGGCTGTTCATGCCTGTCCTAGAGCTGAGCAGTGCACCTCCTCTCCCCAGAACCAGCTCCAACAAAGCTTTCCATGATTACTCTAGATTTTGCATCCTTGCTGGCTGGGAAGGAGGTAATGTTCCAATTCTAAATTTGCTAGCTGTTTTCTGCCTCCCCAAATTTCTGTGTGCAGCTTAATTTGCTGCAGGATTCATTTTCACTTCCTGTCCTAAACTACTAGGGCAGCATGGCTGGCTCCTGCATTTCAGTAGGGGGTGATCTAGTCCCACCAGGCTTCTTTTTCTTGCCTGCCTTCCACTGGGTGAGGGGAGAGAGGTGGAAGGGTTTTGAGGCTTAGTCCCATTAATGCTGAGTGCTGGGAGACCTGCGGCTGGAAGATGCTAGGAAGATTGATGTATTATTAATCCAGCAGCATTTCCTTTAACTGAGAACAGATGTCCCTGGAGGAGATCGAGTTCTTCCTTTGCTGTGCTTCTGGATATTGCATGATCATCCCAATCTGGGAAGCTGGAGATATATGGCTAGTTTGTGTGTTAATCAGTCTCATCTTTTAATTGAGACTTCCATGTGTTATGGGGGATCGGGAGGGTGCCATGAATCTGAGCTGCTTCTCCCTTGTGCACCAAGATGAAGCTTGTCAAGTCATGTGTTCTGTGATTTCCAGGCCAAGCCAGGTGGCTTAGTGAAGCCAGTGGCTTTGGGCAAGCTCCCAGGTAGGTACTTAGCCCACCAGGAGGGGTTGCCACATCTCCCAGTGCCGGCTCTTCAGCAAACCCTGGATCGCTACCTGCTGGCTCTGCAGCCCATTGTCAGTGAGGAGGAACTGAACCACACGAAAGGGCTGGTGGATGAATTCCGGAAATCAGGCGGCGTCGGGGAAAGACTGCAGAAGGGCCTGCAGAGGAGAGCCAAGAAAACTGAGAACTGGGTATGTGGCGGAGCCCTGAGCACTGGGCTCAGAGGACTGAGGCAGATCTAAGCAGAGTCCTCATGACTTTCAGGTCCCCTGAAGGCCATCACTGCTCTGGTCAGCTATGTTATGTGCTGAGACCTAGCACACCACTGGTTGCTACTTGCTCCTCTTTCAGCTGTGTGCCCTCAAACTCACCTCAGCTGCCCAAACCCCATGCAGCAGAACAAGGCAGCCTGACTACTGGCTGCTGCAGTACGGGCTGCTCCATTCAAATGGCACCCCTATCCCGCAGTGTTGGGGGAAGCCCTTCCTTCCACCCCCATCCACAAAGCACCAGTCCTGAAGCCCGGGTTCCACAAGCCCCCTGCTCTGCCCAGCCTACAAACAACAAAGTATGGGAAAATTCACTGCAATCCCCCATCTTCTTCACTGGCAAAGCAATGTGGGATAGTGTGAGTTGCAGGATGGTCTTCCAGATATTTTATGAGGTGCAACCCAACCAAACGTGGGGCCCCATTCTCACACCCTTCCTGTCGGTCCCAGCTCTCCGAATGGTGGCTGAAAAATGCTTACCTCGAATACCGCCTGCCGGTCGTGGTTCACTCCAGCCCTGGCGTGGTCTTACCTAAACAGGATTTCCTGGATCGGCAAGGCCAGCTCAGGTAATAGCCTTCCTGGCTGTCAGCTTTCTTCCCCAAAGTTTCACATGTTGTTTGGGGATTGGTTGGGAGAGGGAAACGCTGAGCTGTTTTTCCCGGGCTGGATGCCGGCTATGGGGTGGTTCACAGCTAGTACTGTTGCAGCAGGATTCCCCCCTCCTCGGGCCCCCCCCCAGGGGGAAGCTAGAAAAGGTGGTTCAGATACTAACCTGGGGCTCAAGATCTAGGTTCAGTTCCCCTGCTCTGCCACAGACTTTCTTTATGACCTTGGGCAAATCACTGAATCTCACTGCACTTCAGTTTCCTGTATACGAAAAAGGAACGAGAGCATGTCACAAGGGGGTGGAGAGGATAGGCGCATTAAAGGTGACGAGGTGCTCAGAATGGAGATAAGAGCTATCAAACACACCTACAATAGTTAGGAACCTGTTTGTCTTTATATTCTGCTGGCCAGCAGAGGAGCCAGACTGTTGCACACCTTGGCTGACTGGCAGTGCTGTGTGCACTGGACATCTGTGTTCGCAGAGGACTTCCCACGATTCTGTCACTACTTGTGCAGATCTAGCATGCGGCAGCATGGTCTGTCACCAGCGCTCCTCCCCAGGCCCTACCTGCAGTTAAATGCTGCTGGCTTATCTCCCTTCTGCTTATCACCAGTGTAGATTCCTTCCTTCGAGACCATCCTGCCCATGGAACAGACTCTCTCACCCCCATCTGAGCCTGCCCCTGATTTTATTTCCCCTTCTTCCCCATTTCTTTAGCTGTGCTTGCACATCTGAGCTTTGTGGAAGGCCAGGCCCATCATATCCTGAACTGTGCATACAAAACAGCAGCTTTGACCTTTGTACAGGACAACCTTTTCCACAGTTACCCAGCATCACTTGCTCCAGCTTTCTGCCTGGATTAAAAATATCAGCCAACCAGAGGAGCGAGGATGAAACCAGAGTGAAAGAATCCTCCTCCTTTGTGCACAGCCTTATGCTCGCTGGGCCTCATCTGCCAGTAGCATTGGGGAGCGGAGGGTGGGGAGGGAGTCTTAAAGGGGTAGGGTGGAGTTCACAATCCTATTTAAAATAAATCAAACCCTTACTTATATTATTAACTCCTAAAGTTATTAAAACTAAAACTGAGCAGCTCGTTGCTGGCTTACACAATACACTGTTTTAATAAATGCCCCCGTTGCTTGCAGTCAAGAGGTTACATGAGACTCTTAAAAGGTTTCTAGCGCTCCTGGTTGCAGAGAGAAACTCATATAGCCGAACGTAATACTAAAGGCTGAATTTTATTTGCACCAGAAAGCAAATAAAACACTACTGCTTTAATTTAATGTAATGAACTAGGTGGAAGAGAAAGTCTCACTTGTGAATTTTGAATGCTAAGGTTAGGAAACATGGAAGGCTTTAAAAAAAAAAATCAAGCTTGTCATGCTGTGTATACTCTGCATGTCTCTATTTTGAAAGCCAAGCCAGGCTGGCTGACTTGCCACTTTTGCTTTCTCTGGCCCTTGCATTTTCTGTTGTGAATGCCCCCAGGAACACAGATTTTGACTGTTTAAAATAATCCTCGCAGTTAGCTTGTTCTTGCAAATATTTCTTCTGGGCTTTCAAACATCCAGTGGCACAGCACACCCAAGATGGTCTCTTGCTTAGATGTGCCTAACACGTCCACCATTAATATCAGCGTTCAGCTACCCAGGTTCTTAATGGGAGACTTTGGTGCGAGCCCCAGACAAGTTGTTTCCTTTCTCTAGCTCCTTTCCTGGTCTATTCCATTATAGGCTTTTGGCCGGGGATTGTCTTACGTGCCTGTACCACCCCAAGCACAGGGAGTCCCCTAGCACTGCTGTAGCTAGTCTTAAGCGTTATGAATGCAACAAAACCAGAACATGTTTAACATGTTGCCATTTGAGTTACAATCATACAACTTATCCAAACCAGCCTCTTTGTGGAAAGAGCAGCTGCATTGGGACAGACATCAGAACTACCCAACTACCTCCCACCATAGCACAGGGTGATAGCTCCACCACCTAGGGCTCAGGGTGTTGGGAAACGGCTTGCTGCTTTGCCCCAGGAATCCCAAATGTCCTTTGTGGTCATCTAATCATCACACTTGCCTTTTCCAGGTTTGCTGCCAAGCTGATTGAGGGTGTCCTGGATTTCAAGACCATGATTGACAAGTGAGTGAAATGCATTTCTGCCTCGCCGACTGCTCCTTCCTTTCCAGCCTTCTGTTGGGCATCTGTGAGGACATGTTCAGTTCAAAAACTGCTCTCTTAAAGCAAACTCCAGGACAGAAATCCACGTATTGTAAAAACAGCCACAAATCAGTGCTACTGGCAACAGCTGGGGTCACTGACCCCAAAAGGACTGGAAGAGCAGATGTGTATTATGCTTTTTATGCTGTTTTACTCCTGCTTTTCACTCAGCTGAATGGTGAAGTGAGCCTGCTCCATCTCTACTTCTAGGGTCTCATGTAATCATGTTGTGTGCAGGTTTCCACACCTGCAGGTGCTATAAAAACAATCATATTGCCTTCTTTGTGAGGCTTGTGTGTGTGTGTGTGTGTGTGTGCATGACCTGATGGCCTTGTAGACTTGCCTCACTTTATACCTAATTCCCAGTCTGAAAGGGTGTTCTCTGGAGAGGATCATCTTTATCCTGTTTGGTCCTGGACCTTCTGAGGTGAGGCTTTGACAAAGGCTTTGTTTAGAGAAAGACTGAAGGTCTGGGCTTCCCCCAGCCAGGACGCAGTGCCTTCATCCGATCTTAGTGCCTTACTGGAATGGAGACAATGGAGAGCCGTGTGTCTGTGTGCGCGATCATCACTGTTTTCTTTCCCTCTCATGTTGCTCCCTTTCTTCTCTCTCACTGTCCAGCGAGACCCTGCCTGTGGAATACCTGGGTGGGAAGCCCCTCTGCATGAACCAGTACTACCAGATCCTCTCTTCCTGTCGAATCCCAGGACCGAAGCATGACTCCATTGTGAACCATGCCAGAGGGAAAAAGCGGTCCCCACACATCTCCGTGGTTCACAACTTCCAGGTATAGCGGATGCTTGGCAGTTTGGGATTCCACGGTTGCTCAAATGGTTCACTCAGTTTAAACGTCTCCTTTGGCATGGATCCAACAGCCATGATCAGGTCTCAGAAATAGCAGAATGTAGGTGGTGTCAGAAGTCATTCTGTAGTTTACTAACCTGGGCCTTGTTACTACAATTTCTGAGCACCTTGGTCTTCAATGCATTTATCTTTGCAACACGGCTGTAACAGGACTTGAACATTGGGCTTCCAAACGCCCAGACTACGACCTCACTGTGCTACCCTCCCTCAGCCCGCTCTGGACATCAGCCCCTTAGCTGAGCTATCAGGTTTTGCTTTTGCCATCCAGGGGTGTCTACTGTCATCCAGGCTGATTAAGTCTTCTTTCATTGTGTCTCTCCTCATTCTTCCTCCTTCCCATCCTCAGTTCTTTGAGCTGGACGTTTACAATAGTGATGGGAGCCCCCTCATCGCTGATCAGATCTTCATCCAGCTGGAGAAGATCTGGAACTCCTCCCTCCAAACAAACAAAGAGCCCATCGGGATCCTCACCACCAACCACCGAAACAGCTGGGCCAAGGCCTACAACAACCTCATCAAAGGTCTGTTCCACCTCCCCCGGGCACATTGCCAACAAAACAGCAAGACTGCTGGAAACATCCACCCTCCATGCAGTGCTGGGTTCTTTGGGTCTCCCTTTCCTCGCAAGCCTTTTGTAAGCACACACTGCCCAAATCAGTGGGCTTTCTAACCATCTAAGGAGCACAAGAGAGATGTATTTATCTAGTTGGATTATGGCCAAGTTAGACCTGCTGCCAAAAATGTTTGTTACTGTTTTAAGCATACACACATCCTTGAGGTTTGGTGCAGAACAGAGCTGAAATCCTGGAACATCTCACTCCCCAAATGGGTGAAAAAGCAGCCAAGCTGAAAACAAAAAATCAGGGGCTTGATACAAGTGAGGGGGGCAGAATCCCTCTGAGGGTAACAGCCTCCAATCTGAAATAGCCAGACAGTCAATGCCTTTAACAACTGGACACCACCATGCTGTGGCCAACACACACTTCAGGATAAAGGTATCACCAAGTGCTATCAGTCTGCTCCCCTAAATCTTGACTTCCTCAAAGTCAGTGCAGTTTTTCTAACCCCCTTCCATTATTTTCCACTCACTTCCCTTCCTAGACAAGACCAACAAGGAGTCTGTGCGTTCAATCGAGAAGAGCATTTTCACTGTCTGCCTGGATGCACCCATGCCCCGGGTCTCTGAGGACATCTACAAGAGCCGTGTGGCTGCTCAGATGCTGCACGGTGGAGGCAGCCGCTGGAACAGCGGGAATCGATGGTTCGACAAAACCCTTCAGGTGGGAGCTGGTGGCACTGAGAAATTAGAGCTGGCAGGTCTGAGGGAGACAGACTCTGAACTGGAAGTTTCAGTAGGTTCCAGAACTATTTAGTAGATCTTCCCAGATCAAAGGGGTGTGGGGAAATGATACAGGGAATTGATGATGATTGCATGAAACTCATTAGGTTTTGTGGAGCTGCTCTGCAGTGTTTGGAGGTCTCCCACAAACAAGCCCTCACACCTTTGTCAGCCCCCATGACTTCTCATTGTTCTCGTGTTCCTGCCCACGCTTGGTCAGTGCAGTCCTGATTGTAGCTATTCTTTGTGTTGCTTATACGTTGCTTGCCTGTGATGAATAATGTCCATTTGGATGCTGCCCAAAACTAATGAGGTCTGTTCCTTGTATTTCCTATGGGCCAGTCACTTGCCCTGGTTGTCTCTGCCAGAAACTGCCCTGCTTCTTTCAGGCATTGGCTGGCACCCTGCAACATCTCTATGATCCACTCTCCTTTCAGCCCTGAAATGCTGTTGAAATGCCTTCAAGTAGTAGCTGCCATTCAAGAGCCAGTTTCCTCCACCTGAAGGCTGTGTCCTGGTCTGGAGGCGGACAGAATCAGTCATGTAAAAGGACTCTTCCATCACTGCCGTCATAATTAGATTACGTGGCTTCTCCCTGGTCAACCTTGTGTATGGAACAATGCCCCATTGTCCCCCCTTTGCAAGTAACTGAAGTAAGTCTTCTCAGGATGGAGGGGATAAAGCGAACCTCCAAAAAAATCATACTGTCAGCCCACATCTTGTTGCCAAGGTGCTGGTCTCTTGTTCGTATCTTTTGCCAGTCATTCAACAAAACCAGCACGATGAAGCCAAACCCTCCTAGCCCACCTACAGTTTTGCTCCTCTGCTCTGTCTTGTGGATTCCAGGAAATATCCTGGCACGTTCCAACATTTCTGTGCAGTGATGGAAATGTAGCCTTCTCCAGCATGCACCAGTGAGGTGTCAAGACATCTTTAAAGTTGCCCCTTGTTACATATAGGAGACATTTCTTTACTGTTTTCTCTCTCTCTCTCTCTCTCTCTCATATTCTTTGCAGTTTATCATTGCTGAAGATGGTTCCTGTGGCTTGGTGTATGAGCATGCTCCCTCAGAGGGCCCACCCATTGTTGCACTTCTGGATCATGTTGTGGAGTACACGTGAGGCTGGCTTTTTTGTCCCTAATCTGGAGATGGATTTCATGCCATCTGTCTGTAGTAATGCTCTCCTTTCACCAGCTCATCCCCCTGGGAGCTTCTTTGGAGGAACTTTAAGGATGTCCTGAGTTTGCTGCCTCGGCACTTGTAGAAATGACCAAGGATTAACCCCCATCACAGAACAGATCATTTTCAACACACAACATATTTCTTTAAAGGTTATGAATGACATTAGAGCTATAATCTAGACAAGACCTGTTGTGCCCCTAGTGTCTGTATTTGTTCTTCTGCACAGAGGCATATTTGGAGAAACCAAAATTTATGACACCAGCTTTTGCAGCACATGACAGTGTTATAGGTGGGGAATGGGGAGTAGCCTCTCCAGGTGTTCATAGCACAATCACTGCAATAGGCATGTCTCTATCAGAAGTCTAACTAAAATGGCTTCAAACCCATTTCTCTGTGCAGGAAGAAACCACAGCTGGTGAAATCGCCCATGATTCCTCTACCAATGCCTAAGAAACTGAGGTTTAATATCACTCCAGAAATCAAGAATGACATAGAGAAAGCAAAGCAGAACCTCAATATGTGAGTATAGCAGGAAGCACTGGGGGGGGGGGAATCTCCATCAGTGAACAAGGGAATAACCCATGTGTCTGCTTGGAGAGCTAAGCAGAAGGAAAATGTAAGGATGGCATCGGCTTTCAGGAAGCTTTCCTAGTGTCTAATTGGGCATAAGCTACATTGAGCGTGGCTGAAAAGTATGTTCATGAGACTCCTCCTTGACAAAGATGAAAAGTTGCTTATGGTTACCCATCCCAATCTACTTTCAGTGTGGATTCCTGGTCATAGACTCAATCTGCTTTACTAGATCAAGCCATGGGCCAATCTAGTCTGGACCATGTCTCTAACAGTAACAAAGAGCCTTTGTTTATACAATGCTAAACATGGGAAGTGTCTAGTTACTGAGCTTGAGTTCACTATCCAAAGTTCAGGTATAACAGATCCCACTCTCCTTGCACAGGTCTGTGTGGATTGCAGTCTCTGGGGCTCACAAAAGCCTGGGTTCTGTGATCCTGCATGACAACTGCAAGCAGCACCCTAAGGAATCTCTCCTCATCTCTCTGCAGAATGGTGCAAGATTTGGACATCAAGGCGACAGTCTTTCACTACTTTGGGAAGAGTTTCCCCAAGTCCGAGAAGTTAAGTCCAGATGCTTTTATCCAGCTAGCCCTGCAGCTGGCTTATTATAGGTAAGAAGTAGAACACAAGCAGGTAAGCTTCCCACCTCCAGTCTAGAGAGCCTCACTGTACTGTAAGTCAGCAGTTTTATGAAGCAGACTGGGCACCAAATTGATTTGGGGAAAGGCCCTCAGTTATCATGGGCTGCAGGATGCTCACCCACTACAGTAGCCCCTACTCCACTTGTGCCTCTATATAGCACAGGGGTGGGCAAAATGCGGCCTGCAGGGCAGATGCAGCCCACCTGGCCATTCTATCCGGCCCGCGGGGCCTCTAAAAAATTTAGAAAATTAATGTTTATCTGCCCCTGGCTTGCAAAACTCAGTAAGTGGCCCTCTGCCCAAAATAATTGCCCACCCAATATAGCAGGTGCTGAGGTCAGTGTGGCTGGTGGATCTCGGCCTCTTTCCCAGATCCTCCCTTTTCCCTCTGGAACTAGATACAGCAGAGTGCATAGCACTTCATGGCCAAAAAGGGGTGGGCAAGAATTGCCCATCGGCAGGGAAATGTAATGGGTTTAATGGGGATGGAGCTATATCCTTGTAATTCTGAATTCTTCTCACCTTTTCTCATCCTTTCTATTTGGAATTTGCACTCCCAAGAGGCAAGGATGCCAATAAGAAATGCAGATCTGCCTGCATATTTTGGATGGAGAATTGGCTGCAAAGATAAGTCACAGCTCAGCCCTGTGACAACTTCTCTCCCTTTCAGAATGTATGGGCAGCCCTGTGCCACCTACGAGAGTGCTTCACTGAGGATGTTCCATCTGGGCCGGACAGACACCATCCGATCTGCTTCCACGAGCTCTCTGAAGTTTGTGGAGGCAATGGACAAACCTAACAAGCAGGTCAGAGTTTAGACAGTGGAACGGAATAATTTCATCTCAGAAAAAAGGGGAGCACTATCAGCTCAGCTAACATGGAAAGGTAGCATTTCACATCAACTGGTCATTCAAGAACTGCACCCAAGATGAAGTGATTATCAGTCTCTGGCCTCACTCAGTTTTTCTTTACCTCCGTGAAAATCTTGAGCAACTCTGCACATGTGTGTTTCTAATCCCGTATAGGAATGGGGCCAGTCTCAGTTTGGCCAGTTAGACTCCAAATTCTGTATTAGTGATGTTCAATCTTCCAGCCTGCTAAGCCAGATGAATAGTGCAGGTCTGTGGGCTGGATTTGATCCATGGGCTGGAGATTGAGCACTGCTATTCTAGATCGCCAGGGCTGAAAGTTTTCCCACGTATTTAGCAAAAAGAAATTTCTTCTTGTTTAAGTTCTGACCCATGAACTCGGATACATCCAATCTCTCTCTAGATTACAGGTGGTCAAAATCTGGCCCACAAGCCAGATCAGACCTGTGGCAGACTCCCCATTTCCCAGCAGCCCCTGCCCACAACACTGCAGCCAGTTTTCAGGAAGACCCCAGAAGCAGTGGGGCCATGACAGCATGGGGCCAGGGTTTCCATGGAGACTAGCCCCAGCAGCACTGGGAGGGCATGCAGCAGGGCAGGGAGCTGGACCAGGGCCAGGATCTTTCAGTAGTGACAGCGTGGTCTGGAGCTGGGGCAGAGCTGTGATCCACTACTCGAACACGGGCAGATTGCAGTTCTGCTCTGGCTGTGGACCATGCTGTCACTCCTGCAAGATCCCAGCCTCAGCCCCAGAGTAGCTCCCTGCCCAGCCACGCATCCTGCCAGTGCTGCTGGGGCTGGTCTCCATGGAAACCCTAGCACCATGCTGTCAGGGCCCTGCTGCTACTGGGGTCTCCATGGAGAAACCATCCGCAGTGATGCAGGCAGGGGCTGCTAGGAAATGAAGCCTGGCTGCCATCTGGATCTGCCATCTTGCCCACCTCTGCTCTAGATCATATACAGGCATACATACAGTGATGGGGTGGATTTGTTATAATGTATTTAAATTTTAATAGTAAATAACCCAGTTGTTAACACCTATAACACAGTTATCCAAGTTTTTCTTCTGGAGGGGAATTGCACAAGAAATGACCTCTGAAGCACACAGCATTGTATTGTGGGAATTAACAGAAAATTGGGATTACTGTGCTACTGGTTCCACCAAATTAGTGGAATTTGATTACTGGTGCTACTGGTTCCATCAAATTAGTCTATAGTTAAGAGGGGAGACTTGATTACAAAATGTCTAGGACTTGAGCACCCCAATGGAAAAGATGTGGATAATAGGTTCTCTTGGGAAACAGAATCAAAATGTACACAGCAGGCGATTTAAAATCTGTTCTCGGGGGAGAGCGCTCTGAGCTAGCAGGTTCAGCTGGTTGTTGTTGGCAGCAAAGCCTCAGTAGTGATCACCTGGCAAAGGAGATGAGCCTCCCCCTTTTGGATTATAAATTATTTTTCCCCCAACTTCCCTGCTTCCAACAGATGTAGGAGTAAGGGCCATACCAGTGGTCTCCATGTAATCACTTATGAGCAGAGATTTGTAAATTGGAAGGGAAGAGAAATCCTTCAGCCAAACAAAATTATTTAAATTAACGGTAGTTTAAAACAGATGCCTCTGGGTGTAGAAGTGCCATCCTCCATTCTGCAGGCAAGCTGCTGAAAATCTCATCACCCGCTGTGAGGAAAAAAAAACATTTTCATTCTGTGCACTTTCCTCAGAACCAGGAGAAGGTGGATCTGCTGAGGAAAGCTACACAAGCCCACAGGCAATACACTGACATGGTAAGCATACTCTACATCTTTAGCACTGGGATATTGCAGAGGTAATGTAGGTGCTGGTGGGGAAAAAAAGAGAGTACCAAGCAGCGCGCACAGTGCCAGATATAGGAGTCTGCTTGTTAATACTGATCTAGTAGGAATTCTGACTGGCTTATGCCTTGGGACACTGTGCTTCTTCCCAGCTGCCCTCCTCCGTATTCTTAGTGACCAAGGGAAAAGTGAAATCAGATGTCTGAGGAAGTTCAGTTTTCTCTGTCTCCATAGACTGCAGATGCCAGAGCTGCTTGAGGGAGAAACTACAGGAAGCCCAAGTTGGGAAGTTGCAGGGTTCCTGCTCTTTTTCTGAACCAGACCAAGCATTGCTCTTCAGCACAGGATGCAATTTCTCTCTTTTAAGTTTAAAACTTATTTTTAATTTGGTTTTAGACCAAAGATAGTGCCAGTCCTGGTTTTCCTGCTCCCGAGCCCTCTTCAGACTTTCTTCCTTTCAGGCACTAACAGGGAATGCGATAGACCGCCACCTGCTAGGTCTGAAGCTTCAAGCCATTGAGGATCTAGTCAGCATGCCTGAACTGTTCATGGATACAGCCTATGCTGTTGCTATGCACTTCAACCTCTCAACCAGCCAGGTAAGACGTAGCCAAGTATCATGGGGGTGTTGTATTCCTTCTTATAGTTTTTGTTCCTCCATTTCTTCACCATTGCCCTTAAGAACTGCTCCCAAGTAGCAGTGGGTAACTACACTTCTTTGCAAGCAGACATAAGATATTGTTACCAAATGGTATAAACAACAGTGAGTACTAAAAACTGAACAGGCAGGGGTGACAGCAACATCTTTCCCCTGAAGTATTTACATGGAACCTTGGTTGGGAATAGTCTGGTTTGATCCCTTCCTTGCGATTTCCTGCCTGTCATCTTTTTTGCATGGGTGTAGAGATCTTTAACCACATTGCCTCCAACCCTAGGTCCCAGCAAAGACAGATTGCGTGATGTGCTTTGGTCCAGTGGTCCCAGATGGCTATGGAGTCTGTTACAACCCCATGGAGGAGCATATCAACTTTGCAATTTCAGCATTCAACAGCTGTGCTGAAACCAATGCAGCCAGCCTGGCACATTACCTGGAGACAGCTCTGCTTGATATGAGGCTTCTGCTTCAGTCCACCCCCAAATCAAAACTGTAGCAGAGGCATTGTTTCAAACCCCAAAAACTCTAGGAGCTGCCCTAAAGGGTCATCTAACCCCAGCAGCCTGCCCCTAACATCTATGAAGCTCCCAGCTCCTCAAACACAGGGCAAGCAGTTGTATGTTCCACCAGGGACTTAGGAAGGCATCAGCCACCAGAAGCTATGGAATAGCAATCTCTAGCTACTTGACTGCTGTGAAAAGGGTGAAAGGAAGCATGCCTTAATCCAAGCTAGCACTGAAAAAGCCACTCCTGTTGTATGCAAAGCATGCCTTCCTTTCTTTGAAGGGGACAGGAACATTGTTAATTTTGTACAGAATTCACTGCGGAAAGAACATGGCACATCCTTCAACTGACCCATTCAGTAAGGAGTGTGCTGGTTCTTCTGGGAAAGCAGGAATAATGCTTCTCAAACTAATCTGATACCACCTAGATCTTTCTGCTGGCTCAAGCTTTGGATGCGGCTGTGAGCATCCCTTTTGGGGCTTAAGCCCAACTATTCTGTGCCTCCCTGGGTGGGGTCATTAATGCTGTTAAATTTGGGGGTACAGAGATAAATGTTGTAATGCAGTGTAAGTCCAGTCCTCCTAGTATGTGTTGTGCTAAGTATCCAAAGCCCCCGCTTATGTTTTTTTCCCCACACCCTATATATGTTCTTGTCCCTACCTTTCCAACCTCTGGGTCTATCTGTTCCTGCATTTTCTGTATTAACTGTAAAACATTTATCACTAGTCAGCCCCATTTCCTTTATGCTTTTTAAGCATAAAATGACTGACAGCTAAAGAGCCTCAATCACCCAGTTCGAGACTTAAATTTGAGCCTCTTTGTACCGCTTCTACTGAACTAAATGCACCTTCATGAATTTATTAATCCAAGATCCGCTGGCCTTAGCTTTATGCACTTTAATTAGAGGGACAGGATAGGATAGTATGGCCTCTGAGGCACAAAGTCTCCACCCACCTGTTTCACAAAGTAAAAATATGGAATGAAGTTGACCATCTAGCTGTAAATAACCAAGGGTAAGCACAGTTTGCACCTCTGGCATTTATTGTAGCCGAAGGCGGTGCTACACCTCATGCTTAGAGGCAACCCAGATTTTATGGTGTACAATACAAACATTTTTAATCACACTGGCCCACTTAGAAAAAGCCTCTAGGTTCCAGTTTGCACAGCTCAATGCTGACGGCTATAAATTATGCTTCTTCCCAGTCCCTATATCATCTGCTTCTACCAAGGCTGGGGCTCTAAAAGGTGTGGGAGGAGGAAGGGAAGAAACCACAAAAGTCAAATTTAAGATGTAGATATTACCTAGAACAGCTCACTTTCCACAGGAACACTACAACACCTCTTCTGTGGAACCTGGGGCTGCTGCGTTATTAGATCAACTGAACCTTGAGAAAGCAAGGGATTTGTACGTACCTGAAGGTGCAATTCAAGTGGCGCTCTACCAATGCCTCCTATAGACATGACCTAAATTTTTATATCCTTTCAAATAGCAGTACTTGGAGACTTTTTCCATCACAGTGAAGAGTTTAGGCATTATTCTTTCAATAGGGAGAAAGCAATAGTCTCAAGGTGAGGGTGCTGAATTACCATCAGGCAACAGTAACAGCATGAGACTATGGTGAGCTCAGTCTTGTCATATGATACTTGTACACAGTACTAGGATTACTGCTGCTTCTGTACTTCCTGGTCCCTTAAGCAAAGATCATAATCATATTTTCTTTGTGGATGCGTGGGAAGAATCTTGTGTTGCACCTGTCTACTCTGCTACTGTTGTAAGACACTTATGAACATCAATTCAGCCCATCCCATGTCTCAGATAGAAACCTCCTCTTACTTCAGAAATTATTTTTTTGAAAGAATACTACTTCATCCCTGAGGGAAGGTTTTACTGGAACTCGCCTGTATAGCTAATGATTGTACAAACATCCACTCATGACATCCCATATTGGCTTCATTAAAATTAAAAGACACACACACATGCACACCACAAGCACTAAATGGAATAAGATGGTCAGAAAGCAGTGGGAGCATGTAATGCAAAGCAGAGAGTACAAAAACACTTGGTCTAGTAACTGATTTCCCCACCACTCCCCAGCAGAACAGATCAAAAGCTAGAAGAGGATGACCAAAATCTTAATGCATTAATAAGAATGTTTATTATGTAATGAATATTTACATAAAGAGACTGCACCTTTCTGGAATGAAGTGGAATAGGTACAGACTTGCTGAGATAAAAGCTGCTTTTTATTGAAGCTTTCACTAGAAGAGATTCCTTTAGCCAGAGCCAAAATAAAAATTTTCCCCCACTCCATCTGCATCAAGTCAATATAGATTCTGGTGGTAAATAAGGTTCCCCCTCCTTAGGACGTGTCAAAGGGCAAAGACCAAGTGCCTTTCACCACTGACACAGTACATCATCAGTTATCCGATTAGCAACTTTGTTTTGTGAACTTGTAACTGCTGATATTTGTTATACAAACTATTCCCCTTTCAGGATTTACTTAATTAAATACTGTATCTCTGTTTCTACATTGAATACATCAACTTGTAACTGTTGGTATTGTATAACATACTTCTCAAGTTTTACTGTACTTAATATGTATATGGATAAGCTTGGTATTGTTTTACATTATGCATCCTGCATTAGCATATATAATTCCTCACAAGATGCTGCAGTTTCATGTATCCAAATGATGTGTTATCTGAACAGCTCTTTGGTAGCTGCTTTCCAAAGGAGTTGGGATAACAGAGGTTGTACTGTGCTACATTACTTCACACTAGTATGTCATTATAATAAGGCTATTTTCAGTAACTATTTTTGCCTTATCAAAAGGCAACTCTCTTAAAAGGCAAATGCTTACTGAAAAGGATGAGCTGGAAGTGTGTTTTACCATAAACATAAATATGAATTAATCAGATTCTGATCCGAGATGTAAATCTAAATATTGCATTAGCTTTAGGGGTGTTCTTCAGCTGTGGTACTGAGGTCTTTACACATCAGTGATTGTGGACTGAGGAAAGCATGATACTTATCTATCCCATGCATTCTCTGTTAGTGGCAGAAGTTAGGATGAAGAAAGGAACTGCTTTTTTATTTTTAAAAACTGTTTACAGGAATTTTTATCATTTTAAAAAGTATTATGGCATTCTCTTGGTGTCAATGTCAAGCTGTGATGCTCCTCCAACTCATCACTTCTTGACTCTCTGCCCTTCTCTCCTCACAAGGATTGGTTAATGAGTGCAGAGTCATTTATGCTTTATACTCTGCTCCTTTAACCAAAAGAAGCTTGTGGTCAGAGTATTTAGGAGCTAGCCTTGAAAATCTGCTTAAAAGTTGTGAATAAAACTATTGATTTACTGACTAGAGATCTGTAGATTTATAATGTACAATTAACTCTGGGACTGTCGGTGCAGTTGATATCAGTCAGGACTGTTTGCATGCTCTGATAGTTAATTGTATTAAATGTTATTTTTGATATTGTAATCAGTGTCTTGCAGAGATTGAAATGTTCTTCCAGTTAATTTAATCATGAATAAAAGTCTACATGCTTCCCAGAAGCCTTAAGTCTTTGCTGAAGGAGTAAATTAAAGGACAACTGTGTCTTTATAGAAGGATGTTCATCCTGGGACAGGAAGAATGGACCATACACACCATATTTTCTTTTACTGCTTTAGTATCTCTACACCAGTCTCTGAATGAGAGAGAGGAGGCAGAGATCATCTCATTGGAAAGTTATGGGTGGTTCTAGAGGAAATGGTTTCCATCATTCAGGGAACTGTAGGTAGCCTTCTCCCTTCAATACTGGATGTCTGATTTTAGCCATTACTTTCTCTTCTCCAACACCGTATAACATATAGCCATGATGACATGAGGGCATTATGGAAATTCTGCCTCCCCGAACTATAGTAAACATTCTGAAGGACTGGGCAGATATGGCAGCAGCTATGCTAGAGTGAAGAAGGGCACACACGCCTCCATCTTCTCCAAGGGATTCCCTTAAACAGGTTGAGATGTACTACTTGTTTAACATGATCCACAGAGACTGTCACATTTGAGACCTGGACTGGAGAGGTCAGGGGAGAGTTAGTTACCTCTATTTACTTTTTTACTGCTTCATCCTTGGGAAGGATGAAACTGCCCCTTTTGGACTTACTTGATTTAGCAGAGGGGGGAAATGGAGGGGAATTGAAAATTTTACTTATAAACAGTTGCCTGAGGAGCATGGAGCCAAAACACAGCCAGCTGTTCTTAATTTCCCAGCTTGGTGCCCCATTCAAGTAGCTATGCTTAGTACCTGGCTTATTGAACTACCAGCACATTCTTTTCCTGCACTTTATCTACTCACTTGGCTTTTTTAGATGGAATAGTTACGGGCCTAATCCCATTGAAATAAGTGGGAAGACTCCTGCTGACTTCAGCATTCATTGAATCAGACCTTATATACAGCTCACGCCAAGATCCTACATATAAAACTAATGGTTTTTCCAAGTAAGTGACAGAGCTTTTCCAGTGGGAGTTTGCACTAGACCACCGCAATGACTATGAAATTGGTTTGAGTTTATCCCAAGAGCAAATTTTTAAATTAAGGATTAGAGCAATCTTAATGAGCCGCTACAGTCTTTAAATATATTTAAATGTTTACTTTTTAAAAGTTTTTAAAAATGGTTGTCATTCTTAATCTCTGCATCAGGTTTAAAAAGCTCACCTCTTCCTGGGGTTAACCCTCTGATTTAGGCAGGACAGTTTCTACAGCAGTCAACTTTCACCAGGGGCACACGGGATCATAGCAACAGGTACAGATGAAATCTTAGAAATGCTGTGTTTAAATTAAGGTGGTCAAGAAATACAAAGATGATCAGATATGAGCAAAAAGTGCATCAAACATACCAGACTTTTATATGAAGCAAGAGTTGCTTTTTAATGGAAGCCTAGCAAGCATGCAGAAAGACTTATGCACACAGCTACCAAACATGACTATCATACGGATGCCAACCGCCTTATGTTTAATGCAGATGAACAGCTGGGTTAAACCCTAGGAAGGCTTCAAGCCAACCATAACCTTGCGTAGCCTAATTAAAAAAAAAAAATTATGGGACTTCATAGGAATTGCTTGATTATAGGCCAAGTGGAATAGAATAGTCTTTGCACAGCTATGAAGTACATTCAGGGAGCACTGCTGAGTCAAGGATGGGGTGATTCCCCTCAAAAATATTTACCAGCACACTGCAGAGGATGCAAGTGCCTGCAGTGTGAGTGCGCTAAACAGCGCATGCAAAGGGAATGGCATCCAGACAGCTTGCAGCAGAACTTACTGTGTCTAGAACTCCGGAAGAGGACAGTCATTCCAATAAGTGCTTTTACAAGTTTGGGCAAATTACAGTTGGCAGGAGGAGTTCTGTATTCTAAGCTGCTATTGCAGAATCAAAACCAAACCCATGTGAGAAATGTTTGCTGCTTCCAGCACAGAAGAACAGCAACACCCTGCATATCAATCTTACTGGGCTCTTCAACAGCAATTTCCCCAGTACCCAAGCCAGTCATTAGTACTTAGTAGCATGAATTTTTGGGGGGGGTTTTGTTTGTTTGTTTTTTTTAATATTTCACTAGTAAATGTCTTCCCATCAGGCTTAGGGGGCATGAACTGACCATTAGAAGTCACCTTATTCATACGTAAAGTTTTACAATGACTTGGGCCTAATCCTTACTCACATACCACTTGTGGTATCTTAACTACCAGTTAAAGCCACTGCTATTTAAATTTTAAATAATCAGTAACAGTTTGATTTAAGTTCAGCAGCTGAGTTTGTACAGGTTCTAACAAAAGTATAAAGGAAGAATTAATGTAATATGATGATATGTGGCTGGCACTTAAACGTGGGGGCCCAAATGAGCAATCTTACTAATTACACAACAGGAACAGCAATGGAAAAAAAAAATTAGTATATTTTAGTTTTTCCTCTGTGTTTACACACACGCACACACCCACACACACACACACACACCCCTCCACCCACCCACCCTTAATGGCATCCGTGTAGGTTTGCACGCAGAAATGTCACTAGTGTTAAAAGCAAGTCTTCAGTTCCTTCTTTAGATCCTTACAAAGTGCAGCTGGAATTGATTTCAGGTCTCCCAAACTGTTGCAGAAAGGAAACAAATCTTCCTTCCCTCTCTGCCCCTCCCAAAAAATAAAAAAACCTAAATTAAGCATGATCAACTGAGATTAGTTTTGTCTTCTCCCAACACACACAATCAACACCTCACCCATCCCAAAAATAATAGTTCCATTTCTGAAAAAAAAAATAAAATAAATAAATAGTGTGTATATTTCATGCTGGAAAAAGAAAGTCACTATTTTCTTCCCCTCCCCCAAATGAGATACCAGGTATTGTTCCCCCCTCCCCCAACTTAGACATGATAGTACATTCCAACTGGCAATGCGCATTTGTGGTATAAATGAAGTTCTGCTCCTGCACGGTCCCACATGCATCAGGGAGCATCCAGCTAGCTGCAAAAAGCCAGAGCAAAAGCCTCCGAGCTCTGGGTGTGGTCCCTGCCTGTTCCTTTGGTCCGTCTGTTAAAAAGCTCCTTGCTGCTCCCAGGTCTGTACAGGTCTCTAGTCTTGTCCTTCTCCATTAAATCATGCATTCTAGTTCCCATGCCTTGAGTCACTGAAGTTTTGTACCCAGCTTGCGCTGTCTGTTTCTGCAATGAGAACACAAGAGTAGCAGAATAAGGTAGATTCACCCCAACCACTCCGCTGTATGTTGTAGCCAGCCCCAGAAGAGCATTAGGATAGGTCAAATGCACTCTGCACAGCTTCCAGTGGAAAGAGACAGGTCACACAGCCACTTTGTGGTGACATGGATGGTCATACCTGCTCTTTACAGGCCCTGGCAGGAAATAGCCATGGAGCCTACATGTTCACCATGCAGACAATGCTGCACTTGTGGCCTGTCATGCATTTTTGCAGGCAGACATAACACTGGCATTTTGTAGAGCAAATTCACTCATGCACCCCAAAACAGAGTCACTTTCCCACACAAAGCTCCTCCGGTTACACTGGGCTGTCTCCCTACATTGTTTTGAAGATCTCCCTCTGACCAGGCAGACCCCAACAGCTTTGCATTTGGAATTAGCATGCATCAGTTTTTACAGTTTTAACTAGCATTTTAATCCAGCCCAGTAAATCTTCACCCTCTGTATTACTCTAGCCACAGACGCTACCCACATCAGCTACTTTAATTTTAAATACAAAGTACAAGTTGACATGCAAATCAATTGGCAGTGAATGTAATCTCTCAGATGTACCTTTTCCCCCCAGAGGCAGACCCTCCACTATTCTGCTTACCTTGCCTCTGCTCTGGTGACAGTGTATTCAAACCACAGGATGTTGGGAATGAGACTAGTATCTCTGATTAAAAGGAACTCTGAAATTGGCCTAAAATTAACAAAGGTTGGGAGGAAAGAAGAGGAGAGGGAGAGATTTAGAAAAATCTTCCTGATTAGGATCAACCTTAAAAAGCCAATAATATGGTCACTAGTATTTCTGGCAGTACAAACACATACAGGCACACAAAGCAACACATTAATGTTAGCAGGAAGTAGTGGTTTTTCCTCACAGGAACTAGTAAAAACAAAACAAAAACAAAAACAACCCCCCCCCCAAAAAAACAACAAACCACCCAAATCCTGAGGATTACATTTGGTGTGGGCTGAGATGCAATTCAATTGAACCAGCCTTCCCATTACAGAAGATCTGGGGAAATGGGTGGCAAGAGGTGGAGTTGGCAGTTCCTGAGGCTGCCATCTTGCAACACTGCTCCCTTCCAACACACACATTTCTTCCAAGGATGCAGAAGTGCTTTATAGAAGGGAGTTCTGTGATGTTTCGTCTCGTCTCCTATGAGATAGGAAAACATTTACCCCATTTTATAGATGGGAAAATGGAGGCATAAATAAGCCAATGGTCACACAGGATATCAAAAGGTAGAGCTGGAACTAGAGTTAAGGAGTCTCTGTTCCCAGTCCCAAACCCTAGACCAAAAGCAACTTGTGGAAGGTTTGCCCACCAACCTCAGGGCTTCTCTCTACCAAACATCATGACAACTATCTGCTTTTACAGACTGAAGTAACTCAGGACTGGTTTTGCTTCAGTTGTACAGTACGGATTCTCTAACTGTGCGCCACCTGAATAAGATTTATTTTTACATTTCAAAGGAATTAAACAGTGCTGTGACCCATTTAGAGGAAACCCAGATGTGCAGCCCCTAGACAAGGGAAGGGTACAGTCTTGTAGGATTACAACATGATCAAAGCAGCATCCAAAGGTTTACCATGCAGCTATCCTTGGGAACAGAGGAGTTAAAATCTCCTGTGTGAAGACAAACCAGACTACAGCCATGATGCTGCCTGCAACACCTCCGTATACAACCTGGCTCCAGGTGTGGTAGAGCAGATGAACCCTTCGGCAGAAAGAAAAAGGGAAGTCACTAGAAAAAACAAGGTAAATGACACTGGACAGGAGAGTATGGGTCTTACAGACACTGGTGAAGTTCAGACAGGGATTCCCTCCAAGATGTGAAACAGCTCAGAGACACCTATAAAATATGGCCAACACCCAATTGAAACAGGCAGATTGTGTGTCAGAAAGTACAGATCCTCTGGTGTACTGAACATTGTATTCAGAGTACTCCTAAACGTGGGAAATACCTAAAAGCAGATTCTTCTTCAATATGTCCCAGAGTGGCCATTCCGATTAGCAAAGGCACTCCTCCTACTGTTCCTATTCTCATTTGTAAAAACTGGTATCTGGATTCACATCTGAGTTTTACCCAAATTCAGCTTCCAGCTACTGGAACTTACTAACCCTTTCTCTGCTAAACTGAAGGTCCCTTTATCAGAGTTTAGTTTTCATATTGCAATTATGGTGTCCCAATGTAAACATGATGGAAGCCAAACAGTTCTAAATCCATCTAAACTGTCTCTAAAATAAGACACAGATCACTTAACTCAATAGCAAACGCTTCAGATGCTACAGTAGCAATTGGCCTATGGTTTGCCTCAATGCTTTAATTCATTGATGCAGAAAAGGGGATGGGATAGACAAAGTGTGAAGTACAAAAGGCCATGGAACATGGTGACTCCCCTAAAGCTCTGGCAGTTTTGGTATGGTCATCAGGAATTTAAAAAAAATCCCAACTACAGGAAGTTAAAGTGTTAAAGACTCAAAGCAAAAAGTTAGTACAAAAGAGTAAGAAAAACAGCTGCTCCGTACCTACTGTAAGAGACTAGAAAGGCCACTGTCACCAGGAAGATGGACAGGACATGTCGCCACAATAAATCCAGAAACCTGGCATTGTTTGTTTGGTGCATTCTGGGAAAGGAAAGAGGGAAGAGTCATTAGCAGGATGGAAAAAAAAGATGGTGCTAGGAAGAGAAACAGCCCCCAAAGCTCACCCCACCGGACTCCAGTGACTCTGGAGAAACCACAGCTGCCACAGATATATATTTACCTGTTACCAAGTAGATACAAGTGAGAAAGCCCAATTCCAGTCAGCTGGTTTTAACATATCACCATAAAGGAAGTCAGCATGCCCTGGCATCACTGGGACCCTAAGAGTCCATTACAGTTTTCCATAGAACTAGGGGGATCCCTAGTCTCTCCTGCTCTGTCACATTACAGAAACACAATATGCAGCCATTTCTGGTATGCAGATCCCCTGCCCCCTCCAAAAACATTCAAGTCTAGTTCAAAGCAGTAGAGCTACACCATAAGACATGCAAAAAGAGCAAGAAGTACTGCTGAAGAAACCAACTCACAAATGCAAAGGAGACCAAATGCCCGAGGAAAGCTCCACTCCCTTTTCTCTTCTCCTCCCCCTGCACCCATGGTTTTCCTGCATGGATTCAGGTAGCTTTGATCTTCGGCACAAATCTTAAGAGATCGAGCCAAGAACATCGTATTCCGAAGGATTCATGATACTGGCAGGACTGTCCTCAAGCTACTTCACTCCTCCTATCCCCCTCCTCAATTCATATTCTTAGCTAAAAAAAAGCAACGAGGGCCACAGTCCTATATGCACTCTGGGAGGCAGTCGACTCCACATTCCAGAAGGAATCCCACCCCACAAAGGTTGCACAGGTCCTGGAATTCAGCTCTACCTATAGGAATCAACCGATGAAGAGAAGGAAAGGCATGCAGCTAAGAAGCCACCTATTCGAAACGTCCCAGAGGCCAAAGTGTTATCAGGTGCTTCACCTTAAATAAAGGAACAGGAACGAGTAGACAGAGAAAAACCACATGAACTGGGAGTGGCTGGATGGCATCCCGTATTTTGTGGTCACTGTTGAATGGGCTTCTGGGAAGAGAAGAACAAACAGCACGATCAATGACTATTCCATATGCAGCAGCTGGAACTCTGCAAGGATCCAGCGAGGCCGCTCTGCTGGGCTGCGTGTATGAATTTATAAGCATTTTCTCATTCATTTGGCACTGCCAGAGCTACTATTCACCCACTCCTTCACCCCAAATGTGCAAACACTATCCAAGACTCGAGGCAACACTCACCCTTCACCCCAGTGCTGTCTCCAGATTTCAAGATCAACTCATCCCCTACACACCCAGTCTTTCCCCCATGCCATTAGGCTGTACTGTACCTTCACAGGGCCGTGGTTCCCGGATAATGTTCTTTATTAACCAATTCACTCCTTCATTGAGAGCCAGCCCACCCAAGAAAGAGATCTGCAAAGGAAAGACAGCCATGTCAGCCCACAATGCTGGATCCATCCCTCAGCTTCTTTTGGCATTATCTCCACAGGGACAATACTTCTCTGCCACACCTTACCCAATTTTATTTTAGGGCCCCATTCACTTTGAAAACAAAACCAAAACAAAGATAGCACTCTCCATCTCATGTACATGTGCGCATGCAAACACACACTTAGCTCTCTCTCTTTTTAACCTACTCCAGTTATAGGTGTCATCCAAATGTACTCTAACTGAGGGACCAAGGATGGGGAAGGGGAGGGAGGAACAGCTTTTCAACCCATATTATACATTTGACAACATGCTATTTATATTCAGTTCTGTTTGCATTAGTCCCTCACAGAATAAACCCACTTGTAAAGAGCATTATCAGAAAGATAAGTTATCAATGTTAACATCTCTAAGTCTTTACCACAGATTGAGAGGGAGTGTGCATGTGCTCATGGGTACATATGCACGCACACACACAGATTACTGTTGCATGCCCTGCTAAAAGGGTGACATGCTATTTTACTCTTCAGTGAGCAGCTTTCAGTAAATATTGATCATCCTGAAACTGTCGGTTCCCATTTGGAGCAGAGATAAATACCAATTTGATCTTCACTGCACAGACCAGGACACAAGTTTCTTGTCAGCCCTGGTGTCCTGGCTAAATTGCAGCCTAGGAAGTGAATTCTGTCTTTAACTCCTCTCTCCCATGTCAGTTGGTGGCGGGATTCTCCACTCCCCCTCCTAAGCTGCAGGCCAAGAGGCTGTGTGCTGCTGGATTGCTCCAGCACCCCATCCCAATGGTGGTTCCTTTACAATCATTAGAGTTGCTTGTTACCCTGAACACTAAACACTTGCCTAGCTGCTGATATTTCCCATAGCAAGTCCTGGTTTTCAGTCGCTTATAAAATTTGTCAAAACTTGGATGCTTAGACCTGTTCTCTGCCTTAGGTGGGAAGGATTTTGCCTACATTTGTGGAGAGGGTGGGAAATAACTTCTTAGAAGAAATTTGCCAAATGACTTTCTCCTGGGCTTCTTAGAAAAGCCCTAGAAGTTACAGAGCTTGAAGCAGGGAGTGGGGCTAGTGTCCAGAGAAAATGAAAATGCCTCCATGAAAATGCACCCTGCTCTGAACGAGTTCCAAGTCTCTAAGCACCGCCGCTTGCAAATGTTCGGAGGAACTTAGCAGTGGTTTGCTACCAGCAGTCTCTGAACATGCTGTCATCTTGTTTCCAGGCAAAGAGCTGTGGACATAAAAGGTAAGGTTGATGATGGAGCAGCTGCCACTGCCCCTCTAGCAAAAGAGAGGCTGAGAAGAGCATCTCTTCTCTTGCTGACTTAGGGAGGTCACATTCCCTCAACTCCTGTTTGTCCTTGGTTATTGCAGCAAGAGCAGCCCATTTTGATTCAATGCACATGAACCACTACACTAGCCCATAAGGGCAGTCCCCATCACCGCCGCCTCTTTTTCCAAGCCATGGTGAGCCACAACACTGAATACATCTTGACTTCCTCTTCGCTTCAACATCTGAGCTGCGCCTTTCTTTCTCATTTCCAATTATTCTTGTTTCTTCACCAGCCTTAAATGCTTGGAAAACATCACCCAAACACCTGGTTCCAGGACTTGACAAGAACACCTGGTTCCAGTCATGAATAGGAGCCAATTACCACGTGGGGGATGGGAGAGCATCTGGAGTATACACATACACTGAGCAGTGCTGAGCTGTAGGGTCACCTTGGCTTGAAATGCCACTGACTCTGGCCCAGCCCAATGAACTATGTGGTAAATCACAAGCCTTTGGCTTTGGACTAATATCATGCATAGTTTGTGCTACATAAGTAGGTCCAAAGTGCTGCTCAAAAGGGTGTTTATGAAGTACCTGTGCTAAAACTTGCAGCAGTTTCAAAAAACATGTAACACGCATCAATTTTGGCTGACCAGAGAAATCCCCTAACCAATGTACCTGGGCCTTCACATGCCGGGCTCACCCCTAGAAATGAGTCTTTATGGACTCTTCAATCCCCAGGATTTCTGCCAGTTTCTAAAAAAAGGGGGGGGGGGGGCAATTTGTGCCTAATGGGATGTTTCTTTTTATGATGCAGACACCTGGGCACTACAGATCTGGTCTCAATTTGCCAATGCTTGTCATATATGTCACCAGAAACCTCTGGATTGTTACACAGCTTTAGGACACTACCTCCTATAATAAGCTAGAGGCTCCATTCTCAATTCTGAAACCTCTGGTTCCCATGACACTCACTTTGTATAAAGCTAGAAGTATCAGACCCCAATACAATAATCCTGCCACTGGCTCCATTTCCTCTGCCTGCTAATGGAGGGCAAACATTACAAATGACTTGTAAACTCTGTATGACAAGACAGAGCCATCACTTCTTAGCTACCTGTCAGGACCCACAGCACAGCCCATGCAACACACTACATCAAGAGAAATCTTTTGCTGGTGGTCAGGAAAGGAGTCAGACTCATTCCTGACCCCGCTGCTTTACACAGGGGTGAAATGGATCTTGCAGTCCTTGCTACTACCCCCAAAGAAACCACAGGAAAGTGCAACTCTAAATAAAAATATCAGAGGAAAAAGCACCCTACTGAATTACACAACACCTGCTTATTCTTCCTAGTCCATCTCCTGTCCATCATGCATGACCCTGCACAACTTGATAGTCGATCAGATTACAGCATAAAATGGAAATAAAAGCATCAATTTTCACTTCCGGTTTCTCACAAGTGAGATGTTTGTCACAGTGACTAACAAGTATGACACATCCTTGTCACCGTCTGTCCAGAAAGTTGTAGAACCAATGCTTGAAGTTCAGAAGTTGGCAGTGACCTAAGGCAAGACTGTTACTCAAACTAGTGCAAAACCAAGTTATGTTCTCTTCTAGGTAAACAGATCACCTTACTTTGACCTGCACTATCAACAAGTTGCCAGCATGAAAAAGGAAAACTCACCGTGTGAAGCTCTCTCTTGAATATGATGAGTGTGACAAAGCCAGCAATGACAAAAATTGGACTAAGACTCAAGTAGGCTAAGAGTTGACCAGAGAAATCACCTGTAGAAGTAAAGAGAAAAACAAAATCAGCCTGAATTTTACATATCTGCCCAACACAGACAGCTGTAGGCTGGCAGCTCACAGCTCACACACAAAAGTAATGGCTTGGTAGCCCAGTGGTAGAACCCTATATGGCAGACCCATGTGGACTCAGCATTTCAACCAAGCTACAAGTAAAGGATAAAGGAGGCTGAAAGCAGGCAGGGTGGCAGTGCCTAACTTCAGAAGCAGGCAGAAGAAGAGGAAGATGGAACAAGCCTGACACCAACCAAAAGCAATTTCTGCTAGCCAGATTACACCTCAGTCTGTGGAAAGACTGAGTAGTTCCCCTGTCTAGGCATGAAAGTATGAACCCCAAAAGAAGACAGATGTCAGAGTTGAAGCATAATGTGTACATGCGGACAACATAGATGGCATAGTAGTCAGTGTAAAGCATCCTTACCTATTCATCCCTCAAGAAGAACATATTGTCTACAAACTCTTTAGGGAAGATACAAATGTAGACTCAAAACAAACAGAAAAAAAATTCACCAAAATAATTTTAAGATCAGCAACCAAGCACAAAAGGAGTCATGTATTTGTTTCTTCAAAAGGTTCTTGTATACCCCTTTTAAAAAATGATCTCCATTTTTTTTTCAAAAATTCAAAACAGAGAGAGCAAAAAACTCAGTTAAAAAAAATTGTTAATGATTCTGCTACAGTGGAGACTTATTAGAAAGATGCTGGCAACCCTACCCCATTATAAGCAAAATCAAAGAACAGGGCAAAGGCTCTGGTGGTCTCAAACTATTCTCACCATGACAATACAGTCCTTTCAACCTCACTACACAAAAAAGAAGGACCTGTTCCTCCCTGCTAAGCACCTGATCCCTCCTGCATACCAGCTGCAAACTCGAGGCCTCATACCCATGACAGTCTTGCTAATACTTCAGCAAAACATGGGCTCAACAAGGTCTCACCTTCTGGTAGTCGTCCCTTCCATCACATCCTCCCCCTTCTCTCTTAGTTTAACAAGATCTTAGCTTCTAATCAGGTTCCCCCATTTCTTCTCCCTTCACAGAAGATCATCAGGCTTGGTCAGACTGCTAAAAATCTACTGAGTAGGGAGTTTTAAAGGTCCCTGCATATCATACCCAAAAGATAGTTAAGTGATGCATCTTCCAGGAAAACAGGGAAGTTGGATGTAGGGTTCAACAGTAAGGGGACAACTAATTGGTACATATACCAAAGTAGTGAAATAGATACCCTTGCAGGCGTACCCAATCCGGTAAATAGAGATGGATTTCTATAGTTATTCAATGTACAACAAAGATTTAAAAGATGTAACTATTCTATCACACTTCAGACATGTAAGTCCCTGTGTACTTCTCTGCCAGCCAGTTTAATCAGCCAGCTGATAGTGATTAAAGGCTCTCTAGTTATGTCTACTGTGTCATTTAAATTTAATATGTACTGTGTGCAGCAAACCGCAAATGAACCTGAACCGTGCAAGGTAGGGGCCCAGCCAATGCAACCACCTGCAACAATACCCTCCAAAGAAATCTGAGCCCTGCCACGTGCCTGAAAAACTGATTCATTCCTAAATCAATTTAGTTTCCTTCCTCTGTATATGGCATTTCCGCTCCAACACACACACTTGTAGCCTAGTTTTTAGCTGAGCTCAAAACAGTAGCAATTGGCATGATGATGTTTGGCTTCAAGAACTGGAGCTAAATAAAAATCTCTCTCTCAGCTCTGAAGTCCATGCTGCTAGGTGCATTGCCAGATGCCTGTACAATCACCTGTGATACACCATGCAGTCTCCTTTAAAATGCCAAGCTCTGCACCACTTACAGTTAGAAGCTACTAAGATTATTAATAGCAAGAGATTGCCGAAGATTTTCAGCCTGAGAAGTATAAAGAGTTGGGACTAATGTAAGAAACAAACCTAAAACAGATGGGTGTTTTGTTTGTTTAATTAAACCAAACCCCCATTAAATAGACCTCGGGCTCACTTCTGTTGTCCCATAACTAACAGTCATTTATACCAATGCAAAGGAAATGCAAAATGGCTGTCAAATGCTACCAAAGAAAAAAAAAAATCAGAATATTTATGATATCTGTTTTGCTTTGGTGTAAGCAACAGCACAAGCTGCCAGAAAAATCACACCTTCTATGTCTAAGTATTGTCCAACAACAATGTAAGCACCAAAAGAGATTCATCTTAAGACCACTTGCTTCCAGACAGCCAAAACTATACTGGAAATAACTTTCAAGGAATTTAAGCCATAGGTACCAACTTTTATTTTTGCCAGGAGGTTGGGGGGGGAAGCAAGATGGAGCCCACCTCCCCAACAGCATGACTGAGTGGAGCCCATGGGTGGGGGGAGGGTGAAGGCAGATGGGGGCTGCCTGCTGGGAACTCAGGGCTCCCTGCCCTGTTGCCTCCCCCTGGAAGCCCCATGCCGGCCATAGAGAGGTACCCCCTTCCTGCCCAGCAGCAGTGGGGGGCACAACACACACGTGGCACCCCCTGAATCCCGCTCCCTGCAGCCCCTTGCAGGCTGGAACACTCCGTGGTGAACAGTAAACCTGGATCCCTGCACAATACTGGGAACCCAAGACAAAGGCTGTCCCAGAGTCATGCAGCCAAGGACTGGGACTTAATGTTCCCATTTCAGGACTGTCCTGCCCAGTTAGGGATGGGTGGTCACTCTACCCTCTTCTCAAGGTGGGCCAGGGCCCTTGGGCTCCCACATACTCAGTGCCTATGGTTTAAGCTTACAAGTCATGTACCAGTGTTCAGCAGCACTGCATGCAAGAACATTCATTCTTCTAATCTGTAGCGCACAAAGCTTTGAAAATCAAGTTAGACCTAAATACAGGGACCACTTAATAAAGAAGTTGAGATCCAGTTCTGCTCCATTGTCTCAGAAGTGATTCTCTCTCACATAAAATGACAGAAAAACATCTATACAAATAGTCCTTTGATAACATTAAACTAGATACAGGAACTCAAGAGAGCATAATAGAAACTTCAGGATGCTAGAATACAGTAAAGTTAATATGCCAAGTCATCCAGTCAATAAAGTCTGGTGACCATTGCTAGAGCTAGTGGCCACAATCTAGGACACAGCCTAAGCTAGTGAACAACCACTCGCACCAAACTGACTTTGTGCTTTTCATAGTCACCTGTTCAGGTAAATCTTCTCACACAAACACTTCAGACCCCTCAGCCCTTCAGAACAGACCTGTTAGCCACACACACACACACACGATTAATGTTAGGTGACATCCTAACAGAACAAGATTCTAAAACCACATAGGTAGTAGTGCAAAGGGGTTTTATTTGGTCTAGTACAATTCTCAGGAAAATGAGACCCCATCCAATTTAGTCAAGGAAGCTATGCTAGAAGTCTGCTAACAAATGGATGCAGTGGTTCGGTGGACAGTTTTAGCTGGCACAGACCTAATCCAAGAGTGGAAAAGGCCCAAGTCTTTAAGAGACAAAGCACGGCGGATCATGTAAAAGAAAAGCTAACTGTTTAATCGCATTCTTCTTGGGAGTTTCAGAAATGGCAAAAACGGAACATAACTGATAGGATACGAGTCAAGACATGGAGATATCTATACCCATGGGAGGTTATAGTAAGTACCCCAGATAAATCAGATCTATGATAGGACTCTAAAAAAACAAAAGTGAGCAGGTCCTTTCTCCACTCCACAAACCTCCAACAGCTATTAGCAGGTATTCTTAGCAGCAGCCTTTGTTCAAGTCCAAGAATTAAAAACACAAACAAAACCAAAATACCCCCATGCTCCCCCCACCCCACACACCTCATCTGTTTAGTATGATGTTGTTTTAAATTCAAAAACTTTCACTTAAACAGTAAGTGAAACGGACCAACTTTTTAAAAATGACCTCAAAATACAAATGGATGAAACAGCATTCATGACTAAAAATATATTAAATTCTAGATATTACTTCCAATGTCTTATGGGGATTTTTTTTCAATTAAAAAATGCATATTTTTTACCCAGCATCCCTTTAGTGTCAACTGGAAATAGCTGAGGTTTACCACTTTAGCATGATCTGAATGCAATGTAAAAAATATGAATTAATGTCACCATGACCACATCCTGCCAACAAGGACTATCTTTACCGCTGCCACCACTGTTTCCTATCGAGATGTCTACTTCTGGCAGCACTGTGTTACAGGTAATTTTGCAAGAGCATAAGCTGCATGTGTCATGAAGGCTTTCCACTTTGTCAATACATTCTGTACTCGTGCAAAATGCATGAGGAACTGCCACTTCTTGCTTTTCATGACACTGCCCTCATACTGCTAGCACAAGATGTGACACCTTAAGAATAGCCACCTCTTAGTCATCTTTGAGGATGATACAAGACTGTGGCATGGCAAAGGTTCTCATCACAACCCAACACACTTCTTCTGAAAGACTAAATGGGGAATAAAATACCATAGCAGCAGCACCAGTCTCTCCCAGTAAATGTTACTTCAACATGGAAGGAGCAATAGCTGTGGAGAGAGGGGAAGTCCCAACAAGTCACAATAAGGCACAGAAGAACCAATGTTCTTACAGAAACTACAGTTAGCCTGGTTAAGAAACAAGTATAGATTAAAGTAAGAGTGTATACACAAACTAGTACTTTTGCTTGCATGCAATAGTTACAAATGCTAGTTTTGTTAGTGTCTAGTATCAACTAAATATGCTAAATGTGTTCAGCTTCTCTGACAAATTTATTCTTTTAAAAACTTGACAGAAATATGGATCAGGGAGAATTTTGCTAGTTTAGGGACAGGATTTGCTAAGTCCGTCTCCTTTTTCCATACCGGAGTCAACTTAAGACTCTGCCTCTCAAGGACTTCACCTCTTCATCTTTTCTGAGGAAGTCATGGAGCCTTAAAGAATCCAGCTCTCCCAAAGAAAAAGTTTAAAAACATTAAAAAGCCAGGATCTTAATGTTTCTCCAATTAATCTCCCTATGCAGAAAAGAACTCCCTTAATAGGATGGGTAGAATTTAAAGGCCACAAGACAATATATATCAGAAGTCCTGTCAGGATAGTTTTGTTTTTGTTTTTTTAAAGACAGACAAACTGAAAAAGTCACAATGAAGCTGCTGCATTATGTAGCTCTGTTCATTTTTCCTTCATGGGTGCAGGGCTTCATGGTTACTAATAAAACAACTCTACCTTCAGCACTTGCACAACTTTCCAGCCACTTGCGGATGCTCGACTCTCCCACATGAGTGCATTACTCTTTCAATTTGCTCATTATATCAAACCTGATCACCCCTGAATTTACACTAGGGAAACAATCAAAAACATGACTTTGCTCAATAAAAGGTAAAGAGAGGCTGCCTATTTTGCTGGTTGAAAAGTAGCCTCTGGAAAACCTGGACTGAATTTTTAAAAGCATTCAGAGCATAATTCTTGGCAAGTGAAAAGTAAGACAGCAGCAGACCACTAGAAAGGTCTCTAAAGAGAACAGGCTTTTAAGAACTATTGCCATAATGGATCAGACCACTGATCCATCCAGCATATTTTTCTGCCTCAAGCACAGAGCAAAAGCAGGAGTAATGAGGAG